AAAGAGCACTGTTGCCTTGTTGCCAGCACTACTAGATTCTTTAATCTGGATTGTGTACAGCGGAGTCCTTGAGCTTGTTTCCCCGCAACTAGACAGTTGCATCTGGGGGTGGTGAGAGACAGTCATGCCTAAAGCATGTTGTTTATGTCCCATCTACCCCGAAATCTCCTTTTGGTTCCTATCTCTGCAGAAAACCCTGCTTCACAAAGATAGGATGTTGGAAATGGAAGCAGGTTTTTCAGTGCTTTTGTAGCAATTTCATGATATTCCACCTTGACTCCAGACCATATAGGGATTTGAAATTGCTTCAAACATACTTTTAATGCCGTTATCATATGTGATCTCAGCTGATCTCTAGCATGGCAAAGTCGATTCACCTGGCTTATTCACAAATGGGTCATGGATCTATATCTTCCCTGTTCAGGGGTCTTTTGTGGTTGGGAAGTAATGTTCAAACTCTTTTGAAAGCTGAGACAGGTGAGCACATACCAGCTGAGTAAAAGAAGACATTGGATCAGTCTCTTTCAAAATCTCTGCTGATGTTTGAAACATGTTGAAAATTCCAATGTTCACTCATCGTCCCCATAATTCTAGTTTGGCTTTGAATTACATCCACTTTGTCTGCTGACTCGAATACAATTGTCATCCTCCTCTGAAGGGACAAGTTGAGCTTGTCGAACAGGTTGGATATGTCACATGAATAAGTAAGTTTTGTGATCTATTCAGAGTCACTAATCCATGCTGCCAGTAGTGATTGTCTTCTAAAAGAAATTTCTGCAGTGACTCTCAGAGCTCAAAAACTCTGACCAGTGGTCTACCTTTAGAAAGCCTTACGCACTTCTGTGTATAAGAGAAGACATGTGTGCTTTGAATCCACCTCGCACAGAGCCATGTGAACATATGTGAGTTAAGGGCATGTTCTTTAATGTGGTTGATAATTTTAATCACACTTTGCAAAACGTTAAGTTTAGGTAACATTTTTCAGCTAGTCAACACTTCTTCATGGATGACACAGTTCATAAATTCAGAACTGACTTCTTTGATCTGAGTAGTGAATGGTAATCCATCCATTCATGGCAGCTGTTCTGTCTGTGCCTGTACTGACACAAAATGACCAATTCATATTTACATATGTAAGCATTCAGAGACTTGAATAATTCCACAGTAGTGTGTTGGTTGGTAACAAAAATGCACATAACATACCCTCATGCATAGGCTCCTGAAAAATATATTACACAAAAACAAGCATTGTTGCCTTGTTATCAGCATTGGTAAATTCTTCAACCTGGATTTTATGCCATGGTGACTCATTAAATCCTCTGTAACAATTGTGCCTCAGTATCATCTGCTCTTTCATTCATTCATCTAGTTATAATGCTGACTGGAAGAAGAACATGCTACCTTTGGAACACAGCTTCTCCTAAAAGTTCATAAGTGTCCTTAGCGCCTGGCAGGATCTCTTCATCAATAGAAAAGGGCTTCTTAACTTTAGAAGTGCAGTTAGTGACTAGGACTGATGCTCTCAGTAGAGACATATTTGATGAAGTGGTGACCTTCAATAATTGCTTATATTCTTTGTGTTCACTTTATTTTCTTTTGAAAAACTCCCAAGGTTTGTCTTTTCATGAAAGGTTCTGGGATGTCATGTGGAAAGAAGTTTTGAAGTTCTGGGCCTCATTGGATAGCCAGTTACCACATATTATACAAAGTGGTTTGGAGAATGTGAATCATCTGTTGAAATGAACCTGTAATTTAAGTAGGACTCTTGGTATTTTCTCTTAAATGCAGCTTTCTTTTCGTTGGCAGACTTAGAGTCTTCTACTGTCTCATTCCTTCTTTTCAAAGATGCTCTCTGGTGACGTTTGCTTTTTACTTGGTCTGGCAAGGGTTAACTTCTGTGCTTATCAAAATTGTGACTGAGACAAGCATGAAGTTCAGGAAAGAGGCACAGATGGAAATGGTAAATAAAATGATGGGAGACTATGCATGGACTAAAATAAGTGTTAGATTCTGACTCGAAGCCTGCCACTAGATGCAGCCATCCAACTGAAGTACATAAACTCACTTGCTACTATAAATCCCTTTTTGTGTGCTTTTTTATTTTTAATTTTATTAGTGTTTTTGCAGTACCTAGTAATTACATTCATCACGGGGAGTTGGTACATGTACATATCTTAACTCTTTTTACATGCCCTCCCCTATCTCTTTGTCCACTATAAATCCTGCCAACAGATACAACTTACTTGTCAGTTGCTATTCACTGATTGGTTTTTGATATAAATCTGCAAGCAACTGATTTATTATGGTGTTTGTGCAGTCAAAGCTGTCCGCTAATGTTCATCTGCTATTTGCATCTGCTCCCCAGTGCTAGCATCATTACCTCAGCTCCACCTCAGATTGTCAGGCATTAGATTCTTCGTAAGAAGTGGATACCATAGATTCCTCACATGCACAGTTCACAGTAGAGTTCATGCTCTTATGAGAATACAGTGTCACTACTGATCTGACAGGAAGTAGAGCTCAAGGAGTAATGGGTGTGATAGGGAGCAGCTGTACATACAAGTGAAGCTTCACTCACCACTTACCTCCTGATGTGTGACCCAGTTCACTGGGGACTCCTGATTTAAAATATATAGGAGATGTGTGTGGCTTATATGCAAAAACTACACTATTTTTTTATAAGGTACTTGAGCATCTATGGATAGTTGGTATGTATGGGATGTCCTGAAACCAATCTCACAGATACTATAGGACAACTATAAGTAATCACCAGGGTCAAATGCTTTGAGAAGTTCATGTCACATTAAGATCCAAGGATTTCATTTGTGACCCAGGCAGATCAGATGACAGAGAGGGGTGCAGAGGAAACTGCAGCAGGCTGAAATGAATGAGGAAGATAAGGAAATGCACTGTGTGAATGCACATTTCCTTCCAGATCCCCCAGCTGGGACGGTGGCCATTGCATGGAGAACTCTATTGCCAGCATTTAGTACAGTGTCTGATACCCTGTGATGCGAAATGGTGAGCATGTTAATTCTGCTGAAGGGTATGGAGGCATTGCAGAGAGTGAGCTTTCGGGGACAGGAGCAGGAAGGCATAGGAGAGGACAAGGTTCCTGGAAGAGGTGAGAGGGGAGGGATGCACCGCAGGAGGACTGAGGTGCGCAAGAATGGAGAGATGGTGTAAGCACAGGGCTTGTGAGGGTGATTTACAGACTGATGGAGACCTTGAAGAGACCTTAGATGAGACCTTATAACTTTTCTATAAAATATGACACAATTTCATGTGTGGAGAAGTAAGCAGAATGAAGCAGGGAACATAAGATAAGAAGCCTAAGAATGCCTTTGGTCCGACTCCTGAAGGGAATGGAAAAGTTAGTGACTAGGGAGGACTAAGAACCCTATTGCTGGTTGAATGGAGAGGTGGACATGAGCTCCAGCTCTGGTTCTGCCAGAATCCCACCCCTCAAGCTTGAAACTCTTAATCCCACCTCTGGGATGCTGAAACTATTCCTCTATCTATGACTGGGGTCTTTGTGCTTCGGAGTCATCCTCTGCTAAGGTTCTGGTTGTCCCTGTCTTATAACAAAGACAAACTCTATTCCAATAGAATGGAAATCTTCAAAAGTTAATGTGTTGACTGTTTTTTTTTCTTTTTCTTTTTACTTTTCTAGGTCCTTTGTACTCCTACATAACTTTTAAATTTCAATATCCAGTTCTTCATTTATAGCAAGTATACACAGACCTGAATTTTTATATATACCTTATGTTTTCTAATCCTGCTAAATTCAAATACAA